TCTCATCGTGATCCCGAGAAATTCGGGGCCCGTAGGGGAGGCCTTTGGAGTCGATTATGTGGCGTTTCGGCTCTTTAGCTCCGAACTGACACTTCGATTCTTTAACTGGAATGGGTATCGAGGTGTCTCTACGCCGAGGTGGTTTTTTAGGCCAAGGTGGCTGGATACTCGAGCTCCAAATGTTGCGAAATGGGTTCGTTTGGCTGAGTTGTCACCCCTCGAGCAGATCGCGTCTACGTGTCCTCTTCTTACTAGGTCGTGCCAAATCACCCTTCATTACAAAGTATTGTAAAAATTTTTCTGATCGATTGGCAATACAAGCAATTGAAAACTAAGCAGTATATATGGAAACAAAGTTCCTATAATATAAATCAAATACTTTTATATAGCTAAGGCAAGAACAAATTACTCCATTTTGATGGATTAAGGGGACCAACCAAGCTATTATACAGGTTTCATGGCTGCTTCCTGTCATCATCAAGATTTTGTGGATTTTTCACCAAAAATCAACCCAATTGGATCGAACAATGAATTACAAGATTGATTCGGTTTTAACTCTTGAATAGTTAAACAAATAAGAATAAAAGTGTTTCTTTTTAAACCCTACAAAACACTATGTTCAAAATATCAATACCTTCATTCTCCTTGCAAACCATTGATGAATAGAAGGAAAATTATCAATACTGATGAATAGAAGCTGATGAATCGATTTTTGGTGGAGTATCGATTTTTTGGCTAAGTACCTCGTCAGTGACGTCTGCTCCCAAGTGGCCTGTGACTCAGAGGCTGAAGTGGAGCTCCCTAGTGGCGAGCTATCTGGTGGCGAGCTACCTAGTGGCGAACTGCCTGGTGATGAGCTACCTGGTGGCAAACTGGCTGGTGATGAGCTACCTAGTGGCAAACTGCCTGGTGGCGAATTATCTTGATGAGCTGCTTGGTGGTGAGCTACCTTGATGAGTTGCTTGGTGGTGAACTACCTGGTGGCGAACTGCCTTGTGGTGAGCTACCTTGATGAGCTGCTTGGTGGTGAGCTACCTGGTGGCGAACTGCCTTGTGGTGAGCTACCTTGATGAGCTGCTTGGTGGTGAGCTATCTAGTGGCGAACTGCCTTGTGGTGAGCTACCTTGATGAGCTGCTTGGTGGTGAGGTGTCGGGCTGACCTGACCGGGTGTCGAGCTGCCTGTGAGGTGCCGAGCAGGTGCCGAACTAACCAGGTGTCGAGCTGCCTGGTGACGAGCTAGATTGACGAGCTTCCTTGCTCTTTAGAGACCTGCAAGGAACCAAATGTCAGAGGACCCGGGGTGGCTAACCCAGCGAAGTCGCTCTAATGCTTAAGTCAGTACTCTCATAGTAGACTGCGAGCTAAAAAATCATAAAGTATGAGAGCTAGAATATGCCTACTTGCCTTTGGGGTTGGTGCCTTTATATAGGCATTGTTTGGTGTGGCCTTCATGCACCATATCCGAGATTTCTGCGAGGTTGTCTAAGTGGTTCGAGATTCCTGGAGGTAACCACCATGCACATTGACCACCCTCCGGATCGTTTGGCACGTGGGCCAACTTCCAAGGATTGTGGGAGAGTTAGGATATGCATGCCGAATTTGTCGGTGAGAACGTCTCACAGGTTGCCAGGTCGGTGCCTGTGCCAGGCCGCCAGGCCGCCAGGTCGTGCATGTGCCAGGCTGCCAGCTCGTGCATGTGCCAGGCTGCCAGCTCGTGCCTGTGCCAGGCTGCCAGCTCGTGCATGTGCCAGGCTGCCAGCTCGTGCNGCATGTGCCAGGCTGCCAGCTCGTGCCTGTGCCAGGCTGCCAGCTCGTGCATGTGCCAGGCTGCCAGCTCGTGCCTGTGCCAGGCTGCCAGCTCGCGCCAGGGCCAGGTCGCACCAAGGCCAGGCCACCAGGTCGCGCTTGTGCCAGACTGCCAATTCGTGCCTGTAACAGTTTGTCAGCTCGCGCCAGGGTCAGGCCGCCAGGTCGCGCCTGTGCCAGGCTGCCATCTCGTGCCTGCACCAGGCTGCCAGGTCCCGCCAGGGCCAGGTCGCACCAGTGCCAGGCTGCCAGCTCGTGCCTGTGCCAAGCTGCCAGCTCACGCCAGGACCAGGCCGCCAGGCTGCCAAACCTGGCATTAGCCCAGGTCCAATCCAACTGCACCAGTTGGATGAATTGTTGGCCCATCCCGCCCAACTTGCACCCCTAGTTAACTGTCTTCATGTACTGGTTAACGAGCCTTTCTTGCCACAAAAATAAAAGATTAACCATAAAGATTTTCTAATTGTGTAAAATTAAACCTGATTTAATCTTCTAAATTAAATAGAAAACCAAACTCAGAAATATCGCGAGTAGTAGATCCCAAAACATGTGAAATCCCTATATTAGCCTCAATTTCCCATGTACGAAGGAGAATCCTTCCTGTCTGAAAGCTTTATATAGAGTTCCAATTAAAAGTAAAACAATGAATTGGAACATGTACTAGAACATAAGGCTCCCAAGATTGAAACAGTAGATATTGCATTTGGAATGCTTTTGAAAATTAATGCTGATGAATTTTGTGATTCTAAGAATCACTTTTAATGTTGCAGAAATAAAATCACTTTTAAGTATGCATTTATGAAAACTTTTAGAACTAATTCCTTTTCTAAGCACAAATCTCATTTCAAGAATTGATTTGCCTTAAATCTTTTTTTTTTTTTCGGTTGGTATAGGTTACCCTACCTTTTCTTTCAAACCAAACACAGCCTTTGTGATTCTTTGAAGCAGAATTTTAACCTAGCATTGCCTTAAGCACCAATTTTCAAATTCTCTCATATTTAAAGTTCATGTATGGATTTGACCTTCTATTACATAAAATGAGGAACAAAGATTATAAAGAAAAAATATATCAAAGAATATCTCTTTCTAATTGCTTTAAATTCTCAAAGAATAATCTAGATCAAATTGATAAATACCAAAAAAAAAATCTTTTGGGGAAATAAGAGGGATAAAAAACAGTGCACCTAGTAAGTTGGAAAAAGGCTTGTACCCCGGTTCAGGAGGGCGGATTGGGTATTAGGCTCATGAAAAAAAAAAATAATGATGCAAATATTACAAAATTACGATGGAGAATAATTTGTATTATTTTGCAAAACATTTTATTTTGTATGTATTTGTACTCTTTCCAAACTGAGTTTTGAAAATTTAAAGCATTGTATGTATTTGAACTCAGTTTTGAAAGAGAGTAAATACAATAGAAAGCCTTGTATTTTGTATTTCTAAACCTCTATTTGCACTGACATATCACATATTTATATTTGTATTCCTTTCAAACTGAACCTTAGTATGAAATACTACATGGTATCTAGAAAAAGAATTGCAGAAATGATTTCTATGATTATCAACACAGATAATACATCAGTTAAGTATATATATATATTGTTTTACAAAATAAAGATTTTAACTATCATTCTTTTATTTTTCAATTTAACATTCACATGGCATTATTTATTTCAAGCTTTTCAAAGCTTTTTCATAAAACTCTCAGCTCGTGAGACTTGCAATTTGACATTTAAATCTAAATTTCAAAAAAAATAAAAATAAACAAATTAGCATATCACCAAGATTCTTTCGCCCATATCTCAACGGAAGCTTCTGTTTTCTACAATCTTCATTGTTAAAAACTGCAGCTTCACAGTTGTAGTCCTCCAAACAGGCGTTTTTGCATTCTTCTTCACCGGTGATGGGCGATGAAATAGCATACGGATCATCTTCCCATGTGGTATGGTCCAAAGAGAACACGCTGTACTCGATGTTTTGGTTCTCACTTCCACAAGTATTCTCTGCACTAAGTTTCCTCGCGTAGCCCCAAGTACGTTGATTTCTGTCAATGAAATCGAAACCAGGTAGACATCTACAATCAGCTTTTYGATCCATGAGAATACAATATGCATTCATGCCGCATACCCCCTTGACATCACAAAAATCATTCGTTGAATTCTATTCCATTGACCAATCACTGCTATTTACATCCAAATTGGTCGAATAGACCCGGAAAAGCCCATCGACATCGATTGTCATGCGGTAAACCGTACTCGTCGTCCTTCCGGTGGCAAATCCACCGTTAGTTACATTCTTTACGTTGAAACTGGTTCCATTGAGAAAGTAGAGATGGCCATCAATGTTGATAGCCATTAGTACCTGAAGCCCGCCCAATAAGCAAGCGTAAGGGGCCGTGTCTGGGGTGTCTACGGGGTACTGGCGTACTGCACCAGATTTCCATCCTGCTGCACCTTGAGCCAAAATCTTCCTCCCGAGTGGTCGGTTTCTAAGACGCTAGAGAAGAGTTCTGTTCCAGCTTTCAGACGCTGACCAGGTAAAAGAGTGTCCGTCGGATTGTCAAAGCTTTGCCATACGACCTCCCCGCTTGAAGTATAAAAGAACAAAGTTGCCGGAGTCAAGCATAGAAGCGAAAGAGGCGGATTGGGCACCTTCAGCGATGGATTTGATGGTTTGGTATTGTGCGGATTACAAGATGAGTGATGAGTCTACCGTCATTTTGCAAGACTATTGTAGTATTTCCTGGCAATGACGGGTCTTGTCTGTTTGTAGTCCAAACGACTGTTTTTTGGGAGAATTCCAGCAAACCAAATTCCAAATTTGGTTTTAAACACGCCAACGTGGGCGTTTGTGCACTCGTCCAGTGCATCCATGGGTGCAAAGAACGTGGATTCATCCAAATCATACGGAAGGAATGGTGCAACATCAAACCATTCCACCTGTGTATATCATACCTGTCCCTCTGGATACCAAATACAATATGCCCTATATCAAACGTATCTCATCATATTGATATTTCAAACTTTTAGACTGGTTAGAAAACAAATATTATTTTCCAAGGATTCATTTTGAGTTGTTAACTTGTGATTAGAGAACATCCCTTTCTTTTTACGAAGGGGGACTCCCCAAGTGAATATAGAAAAGAGTGATGCTTTGAAAAGACGGCTATCTTTTTGTCTTTTCACAAGGGATGTAAAGTGCCCTAATCAATCCCCTTCATTTTCCTTTAGTTTTATTTTGCGTCCAACCAAACGCAGCCTATAATATGTATGACAAATATTGTGAGCCACAGATTAGATGCCAAAGGAGAAAAAACACAAGAAAAAAATCACGTCTTATCAGTATTATCAGAGAGAGTGGCAATTCCCCATGTCATAGGACACGCATGAACACCACGAAAGAATCAAGGATAAATTTAAACGCATTGTACGGTTCCACTGCAGCATCCAAATAAGCTTTCCCCATGCAGACTCAGAAGGCTCTCACGTTAATGGATCAGAAGGTACCCAAGTGAAATCACCATCCAAATAAAACCCGGAATTGCAGGACCAATGTGCTAAATGCTTCCGAATTTTGTGAAGGGGGAATATTGTGCCGCTTCCACAAAAAACTCTCGACACCATGGTCATATCCCCTGAAAGCTATCTGATATGATCCACCACACCCTACTTCATTCCTGAGGCTGAACAACACAATAAGATGTCATATGGTGATATCCACATAGGTATCACAATAAATGATCAACTGCCTAAAACTGTTCCACTCAGACAGCAAATGTCAAATGTCCATTGGAGCTGGCTGCCACTCCTCACAAAGAAAACAAACACCAGATAATTAAGAGGTGTGTCAAGCCATATTGTGTCATAAAAGAGCACCGCTACAGAAAGGGGTAAGTCATCTAACGGCCAATTTTGTGTTGATCTAAAGGGATATGGCTATTCCTTAGGATGATTCAGACCATCTACTTGGCATAGGCTATATAGTAAGCAGTAACCCATCTAGTGAGGTCCAGATTGTTAACCAAATAAATAACCATTGTTGTTGGTGCTATAGCTATCACCTCAGCCCATCATCGAGTTTTAGACCATATAATAAAAAAATGCTCTTCCTCAGAAGATCTAATGTACACTATCCTCTAAACAGTAAGTAATAGTAGCCAGAATGCATTTATAGGATTTCATACTCATAGAAGGTACCTCAGATTCCATAGTTCAATTCTGACTTTTCTACTAAGGAACTACAACCTGAATAAAATAGAAATAGACCAAACCAACAAGGATCAGTTTTAACGATTGAAGACAAGTACCTCATAACCAGTACAAGGAAATCCTCATCTTAATTCTCCCATTAAAAATTGTAGGAATAGTTCAATCCAATAAAGGATCGCATTATACCAAAACTACAAATGCATATAAAATAAAAAAGTAAACCAATCTAACTGACTACTGCTTAAGAGCATAGAAACAGATCAAAATGTCTCAGTAACTAAGAAAAAAAGCAAGAATGTACATACCACATCTGGCTAATTAGTACAGTTTTAGAGAGTAGAGCACCTAAGGTTACCTTTCAGTCTTCAAAATCACCAGCATTCTCCAGCAAGTAATTGACTGCTAATTCCTCATTACGGTCACAAGCTAAAAATGCTTCAATGACAAGGGCTCTATCAAACCCCATTGCTTCAAGCTGGAAGAGAAATAAACGTGTGAGGGAATCATTAAGAAAGAAACACAGGGAAAAAGGAGGCACGAACAAAGAATAATGGAGAACCATACGCGTTCAATAGCCTCTTGTTCGGCTGGTGTCACACTGATAGCATGGGGCATATCTTGCTCAGGCTGATCAAAAAGATCTCTGAAACCAAATAATTACATATTTTTCTTCAATCAGCAGATTTTAAACAAGGTATCATAGGGTTTACAAACTAAGGCACCCACGGGGAAAAGATGCTAATGTAGCCCAAGAATTCATAGTACATAGTCATAGACACCAAATTAAGAAGAGCAACCCAATTGGACATATAGCTCGAATCAAAAGGAACGAATAATGCCAGCCTTCAAAAGATGCCCCACATTCATGATTCAACAGAGCTATTAAGCTAAAATAGGCTTTACCAAATGGCAGGCCAAATTTATAGAGCAAGCTATCTTTTATGCTCTCATCTTTCATATTGGAAATTCAGTCAGGTAGATAGCTGCCTAGAATTTAAGCATAAAACAAGTATATTTCCGCAGATGTTTAATCTGAAGACCATCCATGACTAGAATCCAGCATAAAGTGTTCCTCTCATGCCCCACTAGACAGCAAACTAAATATGGAAAGAAGAATTTATCAGAAAATTTGGTTTTTTCACATTCTTTAGTTTCAGTTGGCCAGTTGTGGCAGTGTCTACTCTTGCCACAAGAACAACTTAGACATGGCAAAGCACATCCATCTCAAGTGGACCACCATCAGTTTTCAGTTTTCTGTAAGGAGCACCATACTTTTGGCCAACAGAAAGAAAAAGATGGAGCAGGGAAGTTCAAGCTATCTTAAAATATATCAGAAATTTGCAATAATCATAATAAGCAAAAGCTTCATGATAAACAGACAGCGTCAAAAGCAAAAGAATTAATCATTGTGGTAATTTGGTGAAGAGTAATTACAGTATGGAGCAGAGATGTGAAGCAGAACAATGTATCATAGGACAAGCAGCAGAACCAAATTTCTTATATTTACTAATAGTCAAATGTGTCTGAATTACTCACCCTTCAGAACCTTCAAGAGGTTCATTAATTAGCTGAAGGAACTCAGCATGGTGCTCCTGAATTAGTCTCAGAAGTTGAGGATTTTGCTTGCTTAGCTCCTGGAGCATTGGCTGTAACAGAAGAAGCAGCTTAGCTCTAGAATTCTGAAATAGTAAGAAAGCAACCCCTTCAGGAAAACATACAGACCTGTAGAATTTGTGGATTGGCTTGAACCATTGAACGCAATGCTTGGAACTAGAAGCACTCAAATAAAAGAAATACAATTCAAGATCAGTAGTGGTATAAATCTTAACTAATGAAATGTGCGTGCATCAAGAGAACAAAAGTTTTGCATGTCAACCAGATTGCAAACAACACCAAGTATATAAAGCAAATGCTATAAAAAAGAAACAAGTATACAAAGGAAACCTAAAAAACAGTAAAAAAGAATATATATATATATATATATATTATTGTTAGTGTCTAAGCACATGCAATGACCATAAAAGGTAGATATTCAGTTTTGTTTTCTAGTGCAAATAGTCTTGCAGCATCTGTACTCGATTGCAAGCAACACAGGGTTAAGAGAAGATGTTAAATCTTTCATCCTTTACCAAATTATAAAATCAAAATAACAATATAGAGTACAAGAGAAGTTGGATTGCATGCCTGCCAAAATAAGCTTAGTCACCCTAAAAATTATTTCTTCTATAACTTCAAGATATTATCATTACCATCAACTTGCAGTGGAACACTTGGAACTCACAATTAAAGTTCATGACTCAGCATGGTTTAATACTTTAGATAAGGACATATAATAAAGCCAGCAACTGCATCAACTAAAAGTTGATATTAACAACTGAAGGAACACGGCTCCATGCAAAATAGCTTCTTTCTCTGTTACAACATATTAGAAGAACTGGCAATGCTTTAGATTGGTTCATCTGAAATTTTGAAGAAACTGTCAATGCTTCATCAGATTACTTGGAATTTTTTTTTTTTTTTTTGGTGTAGATTGCACATTTTTTTGAAGAAACTGTCAATGTTTCAAAATGTTACAACATATTATTGTGGTTTTAACTTTTAAGGATGATAGTGGCCATTGGTTGGTGAAATGGTAAAATCTCAAGTTGACAGTGTGAGAGTATGAGAGCAGCCACTATGTGTTACTGTGTTTAAAAATATAGGTTAGACCTGCATCCAGTCGCCTCTCGCAAGACCCCGGACAGAGAGGACAAATATTGGGTAATGGCCCTTTAGTGGTATGAAGGATCATTCGTTTTCTGATTCTTCTGGTGTAGATTGCACATTTTGCTTTTTTTTTTTTTTCTTTGATGGATTGCACATTTTGCTAATCCCCCCAGCGCCTTGCCAACCAAAACTACTTGTTTTAACCCTGCCACTCCAGAAACTTCGGGCATTTTTGCTGGGATTGGATATTATGAAAATTAACACTTGAGACACAGGTACATTTTGAAACTTTCTCCTCAAGTTTGCATCTTATAGGCGAAGAAAAGAGACAATTATATCCATGGTTTAAAATGTCCATATATTTCCTTATATTTCCATTTCCACAGGTACTCGATGAAAACTACTACTGCTATGTGGAGTACAAGAGAAAGTATTATAACATTAGTTTGCAACAACATTTTAGATATGTGTAGTAGCAGTGTTTTTGCCCACCTAATGGACATGAATACTGCTATGAGCCAACTCGAAATTCTTTTCAAACCTGAAGATAAATCTTAGTTTTTATTGTATAAAAAGTTATCTGATTGATTTATTGCACTTCTTATGACTCTTAAAGTTTACAGGACAACACCTTAGTGTATTATTTTACCTATTAACCTTAGTTTCTTAGTTTTTTTTTTCTTTTTTGATGATTTGGAACAAGATAATAAATTAATAATTTAAAAGGGTCTACCTATGCATCTTATATCATTGCATAGAATAGCTATTTATATTTTTACATATTTCACAATGTTTCCAAAAATGTATAATTTTTATAATATTTCCATACAAGGAATGCTACTTGCAAATCAATTAGGAGTAGGACAGCTTGTTATAGAAGGGGACTCCAAGGTGGTGGTGGGGCAGTTGCAGAACCCCGAGGAAACCATATGGTGCTACAGAAATGAAGTCAAAAAATTTAAGTGGCTGACAAGGAATATGTCTGTTAGTACACAATGGGTGGAGAGATCAGCAAATGCCACCATTTTCATGAAGTCTCTGCTACAACCAGCCAGATACCTTACCAACCTTGTACTCTATCTATGTAGGATTCTGCAAGTCTTTCTTTCTTTTTTTATGAAGTTTTAAACATCCAATTATGAATTGCCACCATTTTCATTTGCTTCTAAATGAAATATTATTTGCATTTTAATTGTAAAAATATGTAGGACCAAATATTACGTAAATGTATACAAGTCAGGAATAATTGATTTTCCAATCCAACATAAGGCTTCATAGAATAGTAACCGCACCTGCTGGCTGTTTCTAAGGAAATCAAGCGATCCACCAGCAGCAGCACTGGGATTAAGTGTCTCCTGGTATAATTTATTTCAAAATAAAGTTCTTATAAAGGAACATGTATGAATCACAAGTAATGACAGTTAAAGAGCACTCACCTGAGGAAACAAGTTTAGAGGAGAAGAATTAGGTGCTCCAGATAGAGGTGCAGACCCTGCTACACCAGTGTCAATTGTGGGATTAGCCCCACCAGATGCCTGATTAGAAGGGAAGCTAGCCACTGGGACAGCAACCTCTGTTGCTTCTGGAATACCCTGAAGAACAGGCCCAAAGTCAATTACTAAAACCCAATAAAAGCATAAAGTGAAACACCATAAAGATTGAACATACAGAATATAAATAATCCACAGCTCGCTCTGGATTGTTGTAAGCTGCACGAAGTGCACGTGTGACAGTCTCCTTGTCCCAGTTTCCACCACCCATATCCATTATCTGTTGAGTAATCTGCTCAAGATTATTACCAGCAACCAAATTGGATGCAGCTTGACCATAGACATCAGATGCAGGAACCCTGGAATTAAGATTTCAAATTGTCAATATGACAAACTTATCGTACAACCTAAATTATGAAAGGTTGAATAGAAAAATTTGGAGAGAGGGCATGATTTAGTATACTTATATAAAGCTCAAACAAATGTACATGTACAAAAAAAGTAAATAAACATAGATAAGATGGAAAAGATCTAACATTTTATCTAATGGTAGCCATGTAGCATGCATATGTCAACCAACCAACGTACATGTAGAAGCCTGAATTTTAAGTGTTGGCATGCAGACATGGAAGTACGAGCATGCAGTCATCTGCATGAAATAAACATGCTAAAATCTAATTCCAGTTACAAGCTTAAAATTTAGGACCAATCAGGTGTACCCCTAGATATAGTTTTATACATTAATGAACTTTTGTTACTCATCAAATAAATTATGTGCAACTCTACCAGCATGACTATTGGTATAAAAGTTTTGAATAAATCTTCATGCAGCATAGTTCACTCAATTAAATTGGGTTTTTCCTTCCTCCCTTGCTGGAACTGTTCTTGAACTGGTAAATAGAAATTTTTTATTGTTGTTTCATAGAGAATATTCCAACCATATGGATATTTCTTCTTGTTGTTTTCCTTCCTGTTTCTTCTTCTTCTTTCCTTCTTTCTCTTCTCCATGCTCTGGGGGTGCTTTCATCCCTTCTATCTCCTCTTCTTTGGTAGTTGGGCTGCTTTGGAATAAATAGTAGGTATGCTAGGAGCAAGTAGAAGAGAATAAAGAGGTGAGCAGCCTCCTTAGAGGAGACTTTATAGCACTTTGGGTGGTTCTGTAACCTCCCCTTCTCTTAAAAGAATGAAACCTAGGACCCCACTTCAAAGTGAGGGAGGGACAGGCTTGGGGATATTTTAATTTTTAAGTAGTGAAAAAGAGATTTGTTGAGACCACTTAAGTCTTTTTATTGGCCCAGTCACATGTGGACCCAATCATATGTTCTTATTTAAAAGAGTCACAATGAGCTTTAAAGTAGGCCCAAACAGTGTTTTAAAAGGCACACCTGAGGTGCAAGGCGAGGCGTTTTCGAGAGTAGGCACCTCGCATGGGTCAAGGCGCTCACCTCTGTGCCTAAGGTGTGCGCCTCAGACCAGGCGCCAGGCGGTCCAGGCGCGCGCCTATATTTGTTGCCTTTTGTTTTTTAATTTGTTTTTAAATTGACTTTTATAGATAGATTATAATGGCTATGTGTATAGATTATTTCCTTTTATGTGCCAATAGCAAATTCAAAAGAAAGTCACGGCCCTCTCGAGAGAAAAAAACTTGCCATGCAAGGCTTCTCAGACTCCCAGTATCAGTCGAAGTCTCAAGCCCTCAGCCCCTACGTTCTTCTTGGATCAACAAGTTCAGGCCATCTCTCAATCGAACAGCCACCTTCGACGTTCTATCAGAGGCCATCTCTTAGTTGGACGACCAACAGGCTTTCAGCAATCAGCATCAGGTATTTCAGTATTTTTTTCTTCTTTTTTTACACTGAAAACATGGGTTCTGCCCGCCCCCTTCTTCTTCTTCTTCTTTTCTTCTTCTCCTTCTCCTTCTCCTTCTCCTTCTTCTTCTTCTCCTCCTTCTTCTTCAGTTCTTCTTCTTGTTCACAGAAAAACAGGGGCTCCGCCCACTTGTTTTTTTTCATTGTCTTTCTTCTGAAATTTTTTTACAGTAAAACAGGGGCTCTGCCCCCACCCCTTCCTCTTCTTTTCTTCTCCTTCTTCTCCTTCTCCTCCTTCAGTTCTTCTTCTTGTTCACAGAAAAACGCCCACTCTTGTTACTTGTTTTTTTTTTTCATTGTCTTTCTTCTGAAATGTTTTTACAGTAAAACAGGGGCTCCGCCCCCTTCTCTTATGAAATATTTTTACAGTAAAACAGGGGCCACCCATTCTTCTTCTTCTTTTCTTCTCCTTCTTCTTCTTCTCCTCCTTCTTCTTCAGTTCTTCTTGTTCACAGAAAAACAGGGGCTCCGCCCACTCTTGTTACTTGTTTTTTTTCATTGTCTTTCTTCTGAAATGTTTTTACAGTAAAACAGGGGCTCTGCCCCCTTCTCTTCTGAAATATTGTTCAAGAAAAATAGGAGCTAATAATTAAGTAATTAACTTTGCTAGTTGATATTTTCCTGATTTCTTAGAATTTCTACATGTTTTTTTATATTTTTTTAGTTTTTTTTATTTTGTGCGCCTCACCTTGCACCTTGCGCCTCAGGCATTTGGAAACTGTCGCTTTTTGTGCGCCTTTCGCTTTTAAAACACTGGGCCCAAATGACTGACCCATTACCAAAAGGACCAGAACCTAGAATTCAGCAGAGACAAGTGGAATGGGCAGCACCTGAGACTAAGGGTGTCAATTGGACTGGATTTGGTCCAATCCAATCCAGTTCAATGTGAGTCTATTACAAATGGACCAGGTCCAGTCCAATCCAATGAATATTTTGGACTGGTCCAACTCAATGTCTGGATTGTCCAATCTCTTCAGATTTTTTTAATTCAGATTAATTCTAATCCAAACCCGGTCCATTGACACCTATATTCTTATCTTCTATAAATGAACCAGATATTGGCTCAATCCAACCCAATCCAATATAAATTCATTATGGATGGACCAGGTCCAATCCAATCCAATAAATACTTTGGACCATTAACTCTGAACTGGTTCAATTCAATGTCTTGTTGGTCCATCCAACCTGTCCAAATTGATTTTGGCTTGGACAGGATCCAATCCAAAACCAGTCCATTGACACCCCTACCTGAAACGGGGTCACAGGAAGGCTAAAACTCAATTTTCATGGGTGCAGCCTACGCAACCCAGGGCAATCTGGAATTGGAGGGGTTGTTAGAGACAACAACAGAAACATGTCTTGGTGATTCAGGCCGGCTTGGGCCAGGCATCTCTCTAAAAGCAGAAATCCTAACCTTTGTTCAAGGACTAAACCTTATTTATATGCAAGGTTGAAGGATGCGGTAGTGGAGGGAGATTGTCAAACAGTCATAGCATCGATGCAAGCTGATGGGGACATTCTTTGGATTTTCAGGCCATTTGTAAGACAGGCTAAAGAATTAGAACTGAACAGCATGCTCAAGTGCATACCACAGTCTGCAAATATCTTGGCTGATGCTCTAGCTAAAACAGGGGTAACAACTAGACTTGGCAAAAAGTCGACCCAACACATGAACCCAACCAGACCTGACCCAACCACCGACCCAACCTGAAAAAACGGGTTAGAGCCCCTATGCAGTGACCCGAACTAAAAGTCAGCCTAAGCTGGCCCAACCTGAGGAGAATCTGGGTCGGGTCAGGTTGGGCCACACGTCACTGCTAGGTCACCTATTTTCATACCAACATTTTCAAGCCAATGTTGACCTGGTTGGTTTAAACGTCCAAACCATTTGAGCCAGACAATTAAACCCGTATTTTTGGTAAAAAAAACGTTGACTTAGTCAAAAAACAGCTGACCCAGGAAGTTGAACCATTGAACTGTCTGACCCATGGATACCCCCTACCTGAATATTTAGAGCTAGGGTCTAGTCTTTGCTGACCCAACCCGAAATAACCCAAAAATGTTTTATCCCCACTCAATCTGACCTGACCTGACCCGAATCAGATTGCCAGATCTAGTAACAACTGATAGTCTTTTATGGGGAACACTTGGCCAGGATTGAATGTGTAGATTCTGTTTCTAAATACTATAGCTATCAAATCAAGGATTGCCCTGTACTTCTTCCTTTCAACTCATACTTTCAGGTAGGAGACTATTATTAATAAAAATTATAAGGCCTGAATAAAATAGACCTTTAACAGAACCCATTTATTCAGTCCTGGCCAAGTGGGTTATGGCAAGTTGGTTACCCATTTAACAGAACCCACATCATCCAAGAAAAATAGAACACAAGCAAGTTGGTTACCCCCTCTGGAAGGAGTTGTAAAGTTGAACTTTGATGGGAACAGTCAAGGCAATCCAGGACCTTCGGGTATAGGAGGAATCTTGAGAAATAAGGATGGCAACATTTTGTCCTTATTCTCAGGTCCAGTGGGTTATGGAGACTCTACAAGGGCTGAGGTATTAGCTGTGGTACAAGTACTACAGATTTCCAACCAACTTGGAGTGACTAATTTGATAGTTGAAGGAGACTCTAAGGTGATAGTGGGATGGATGTCGGACCCAGAAACTGTTGTTTGGGGATATAGGGGCATCATCAAAAAAGTCAAATGGCTTACGAGAACCATGTCAGTTAACTTTCAGTGGGTTAGTAGATCGGCAAATGCTTTGGCAGATTCTTTAGCTAAACAAGGGGCTTCAAGGGATTCTCTGTTTTTGGCTAATTTGTAACTGCAATTTGAAAAGAGTTGGGTTTGGAACCACCTTTAAGGGGAGGTAACACCTTGTGCCTCCTCTTTAAATAAAATCCCATTCATTCATCAAAAAACAGAATCCATTTATTCAATAATAAAATAAGATATAACAGTACCTATAGTGAGTTTGAAGCAGTACAACAAATCAAGTAACCAAAGATTTTCATTATAAAAAAAAAAAAAAAAGCTGGCCAAACACAGGGAGTTTGAAGCTGGTAGTAAGACAACCCAAGGTGAATAATCAGTTTGTGATTATGGAGACGTTGTAGAGCTAGAGTTGGCAGCAAAAAATAAGGTACAACAGTACCTATTGTGAGTTTGAAGCAGTACAACAAATCAAGTAACCAAAGATTTTCATTAAAAAAATCAGCTGGCCGAACACAGGGAGTTTGAAGCTGGTAGTAAGGCAACCCAAGGTGAATAATCAGTTTGTGCTTATAGAGACATTGTAGAGCTAGAGATGACGGCAAAAAAAGTATAACCAAACAGCTATTTCTAGTAGCAGAGATCAAGAAGATAGCGATTTTGTTGGGGATTCTCAAATGGGTTTGATAACAGATGGGGAAATAGTGGCTAAACTTGCTCTGCAAGCTGAACCCTCTTGTGATCCAACCTATGTCGAGTGAAGCCAGTTTCCTTATATATTGAGATGGAGGTGCCAGTGGATGAAGATGATAAATCCTCTAAAGAATCGGCTGCCAACACTGCTACAAGTTGAGAAAAGGAAATTTGTCGATTTTATCTATACTATATATAAAAGTGTGGATGCAAAGTGGAAGTTTTTTTGGATTAAAATTACCCTCTATTTCTTTGTTTGAAAAAAGGTATAAAGTCATTTTATTACAGCTTTAATGGCAATTAAAATGCCCATATTTGTCTATTTAGTCCATCTCTAATTGTAAGGGTTGAAAATGTAACTTCAATTACTACTTTCCACCTCATTTAATCCCCTCTCATTAAGTCTTATACTTGAGGTATTAACTCCCATTTTCTCTTATTGAATCTTATATTTAAATTATTTTTCATTAATAAATGCTACTAATTAGATATATGTCAATATTTTAACAATGTAAACACATATATTTTAAAACTGACTAAAAAACAAAACCATTCTTTATCAAAGTGATGGCTAAGCAATTCAATGATCCAAATCAAATTGATCAACCTATAAAGTCATAGTTAGGTAATAAAATTTTTTAAATAGAAATAAACATAAAAATTACAAAAATGTAGAAAAAATTAAACACATTTATGATATTTTTGTTAATCAAATTAAAAAAAGAAAGTGTAATAAACAAGAATTATTCTTATTGATAATGAAAATGAAATACATAATTTAGAACTCACCAAACATGAAATTATTTTACTATTTGGCAAATATCAATAGTTCAACTTTTGGGGATAAAATAAAAATCAATAAAATATAAAAATACAAAAAAAGTACATATATTTTGCAAAAATACATTTAGGCACATGTATAATATTATATAATTATCGTATTAAACAAAAATAAGGGAAATTCCTGATTAGTACCTTGTACATTGGGCTTAGTGCCACATTAGTCCCTGAACTTTAAAACACGAAAATTCAGTCCTCAAACTTTCAAAACATCCAATTTAGTACCTATCGTTAACCAGCCCATTAACCAACCGTTAAGTGGCATTTAAAAAGACACAAATGCCCTTTCAAATGTCATCTAATTTTCTCTATCAACCATCCAAACATTGATAAAAAATGAACAGTACCAAATCCTTACCTCTTCCATTCAAGAAAGTTTGGGCCACCAAAATGCCCACTGAGACATGACCCCAACTTTCTTGAATAGAAGAGGCAAGGATTTGGGACTATTCATTTTTTGTCAATGTTTGGATGGTTGATAAAGAAAATTAGATGACACTCAAAGGGCATTTGTGTCTTTTCAAATGCCACTTAATGGCTAGTTAACGGTTGATTAACAGCAAGTACTGGATTGGCACGTTTTTTGAAAATTCAAGTACCGAATTGTCGCATTTTAAAGTTCAAGGACCAAAATGGCACTAGGCTCAAAGTAGATACTAATTGGGAATTTTCCCTTATTTTTGCACACAGAATACAAAAATTATAGAAAAAATGAACACATCTACAATTCTATATTTACACTGCTATTAAAATATTAATAAGATTGTGGAGCTTTTGACTAAAATACTCATTTTTTAATTGTCCCTATTAATTGTGAGGTTTAAATTATAAATTGAACTAGTACTTTTCTCCTCATTCAATTCCCTCTATTTAAATCATACATTTCTTTAATAAATGAATAGAAAAAGACATACCAAAAAGATAAAAACATTATAAAAAGAAGAATCTTGCCAAGCAAGTAGGTCTGTCAATGGTACTTGAAACTTCACAACTTGATCCGATTATCACATATTTGGATGAGGTGTTTGTGTAATCAGATTTGCATTTTGCAATCTGCATCCGGTTAATAATAAAAAAAATATATATATAAACAAAAAAATAAAAAATACATATTTATAAAAATTTTTAGATACATTATTAGTATCATTATCATCATCTAGAATTGCCACATGCAAAGCACGTACATGCTTACTAGTTCACTCAAATAAGGATTTATCTAAGGTAGGTGAGATTTAACCTCAAAATGAGTTTTCCTGAAAAGTGTGTGTTCCTACCCAAGAAATGCAAACTACCCCTATAAACCTTTCAATAACTTTTCTTCTGTGTTATATTTATTTTCAAACAGTCTTGTTTTTTTTTCTGACTATACTGCCCAAACCACCATAGCAGGTCCTACTCCCCATACAACCTTCCCTTCTTTTGATAGACCATTCAACTGCCAACCCCATAATAAGGCAATCAGATTTTCTGGAATTGTTAGGCACTGCATAACTCAGAGGTTGCTTCGAGGCTCAACCCAGCCTCCTACCAGAGAGAGGGGGGAAGAGAGAAAACAAAGGAGGAGGAGAGTCTAGTGAGAATTTTCCTTGATTTATTTCCCACAGATCAATGCTACTTGCTCCAATCAACAGAATAACAGAATGTCACGAGCCAGACCCTCTTTCAGTTACTTGGCTGACATGCCTTTCGCCTATATACTCTCTGGAATCTTGGGTCAGCTGAGACAATGGGTCAAGAACACGTTATGCCTTGGGCATGAAAAAATCCTGTTGGGTCTTGCTTGCTAACAGAATATGGTCAAATGATGATAATATAAAATAGAAAAAAAAAAAGCTGCAAGGTGCCAACCAGCTGGTTGGTAAGGTCTCCTGCTGGATGAAGCGGAGACTTGGGATCGAATCCCACCTGTACCTGGGTTGGGGGTTGGGGGATGGGCTCCCCAGTTTTGCAGCCTTTCACAAGATATCAAAAAGAAAAAAGAAAAAAAAAGCATAATATAAAGGAAGGCAGTGGAGTTATTTTGAGTTTTCCTCCAATCAGTGGTGAGTTGGTATGGAGTGGAGTTTACACAAACTAAGTGCCTAGGCACCGATATCAACTAGAGAGACCAAAACAACTAGTCGTTGCTTTACCCATTGAAACATGTATATATGAACCATATAAACGCCTTTTTATGGTTAACATTGAAACTTTGGTTATGATAAAAGGATGTTATGAACAATGAAATTGCCCCCATTGTTAGGCTAGCCTTTGTTACCTAACCCCACTCTTTACTTTTTTTGTTTTTTGATGAATAACCCCACTCTTTACTTTTGCAACCTGCTTATACAAGTTGCATAGTTGCATACAGTTTTCATTGGTTATCCCACCCAAAAAAAAAATCAAACATTATTCCCCATTTACTTCTTGTTTTGCTTTTRAGCTATAGATCAAAGTATCGATACGCCCGATACCCATCAGTGGGTATTGGTGTGTATCAAATTGACTGATACCATACTTTTTTATCAGCTTTAGAGGGATGTAGTCTATCATCCCAGGTTTCTAAAATTTTAAAAATCTGTGTGTATCATTTACCAAAACCTGTATGTATCATTGTATCCATGTGTCCCCATGGTCACCAATACCGATACAATACGCCCAATATCATATTGATATTTTGATCCTTGACTATGAAATGTTCCAATTAGGACCATATGACAATAAAAATATTTTTTTCTGAGAAAAGATCAAGTAAAATTTATTGATAGAGAGGAATAATCGTACAGCATACCACTGACAGGAGCTCACAACTACAGAGCCCCCAATAAGAACATTTTTCTTTTTTTTGGTAATAAATAAAAATAAAGATTTATTAATAAGAAAAAACAGTACTTTAGAGAACAAGTTAGAGAAAAAACAGTACTTTAGAGAACAAGTTAGAGAAAAAACAGTACTTTAGAAAAAAACAGCAATCATGAGAAGAACATTTTCTTTTCGGATGAGTAGGAAAATACATTTATTGAGTAAATTATCTAAAAATATACTAAAGAAAACTTGACTTATTTAAGCCAAAAGGAGGCCCAACGTCTTCTCACATTCAGGCTCCAATGACAGTTGACATGCACATCACTTCTGACCACCTGAATGTTAAGCTACTTTGTAATAGGCAATAGCAAAAGGTTTATCAATTCAACTGGCTGGAGAAACCTAACTTGTTCTCTGAAGTTCTTTTCCTTTCATTCCACAAGCTGCAAGCAAACACAGCAATCATGAGAAGATATGGCCCTAGCAAAAGGTTTAACAATTGACCTTAGTGTTAAGCTACTTTGTAATAGGCCATGGCAAAAGGTTTAACAAGTCAACTGGCTGGAGAAACCTAACTTGTTCTCTGAAGTTCTTTTCCTTTCATTCCACAAGCTACAAGCAAATACAGCAATCATGAGAAGATACGGCCCTAATAGACTAGAAACCCAGGACAGGATCTTTTTAGCTGAACCTAATGGTAGGGCTAACAGTTTGCTAATTAATTTATTGATGTTGAAGCAGAATCCATGACAATAAAGTGCAGCAAGAGAAGCCAATCAGCGATACAATGTGCAATATAACAATCAACTCTCAAATGTCAAGTACAAACTATCAAAGTAAAATATTTAACAATTGAATAGAAAGCTGTTCAGTGTGCAGTCTGCAGATCAATAACACAAAACTTAGATTCTTCACAGTCACTCGGCACATGAATTCATAAAGAACTTTGTCAGTAATAAAACATTGAAAAGATAAGAGAAAGATTGTGAATTTGAGACAGAAGACATACTCAGAAGTCGCTCTCTCTGAAGCAGATGTAGTGCTCGTTGAGGCACTGCAATATGAGAACCCATAAGAGCATGCAAGTCAAATAAGTCAAAACTGAAAACTACCACATCCAATGTTACATAAGGATGCACATGGTATTAACTTACCGTGCCTCTGAAGGAACCTCAGCTGCAGCAGGAGGAGGAGATGGTTCAGCTACTGGGGCATTTTTTGTAGGCTGTTCAAAAGTAGGTTCAGTCTTTATAATAATATATAAAACAATGCAATCAAGGAAAAGAAATTACAAACCCCTTTCGCAAGACAGACCTGAGTAGATGAGGCCCCAGATGATCCCATGGCTTTACTCTGCCAAAATAACAAGAGAATTAGAACTTTACATACAGCAAGGAAAAGCTTTTTCTGATATGGTCCAAGCATAATGTCTTACCAAACCATTGTCTTGAAATATCAGGCAAACAAAATATATTTTACATGATCGTAACAGACGATTCATCTAATTATAAGATACTTTCATTTTAAATTATTGTTTGAATCTATTGATATCTGGATACTTGTGCATGCCTAGTGTACCAATGTTAAATATAAAACCAGATACTGCATGGATACTTTTAGGTGTACTCCACAACATTATCACTTTTAAAATATGTAAAGTGGTATGTTTTAACAAATTATACTATTAAAAATATCTGCACATGTTATAAATTTAATAAAATTGGAAAAACATAAGTCTTGACAAATGGCATTTACCTTCAAAAACTAGATAATAAAGACATGATATGATCATAATACATGGGGTATCCATACCCATATCTGTATTCAATATTTTTGGAAATGGAGTCATATCCCTACTCCCCATATCTGGGCCCATCATGTCTGTATCCACATCCAGGTATCATATATCTAAACTACTAGAAGTTTACCATAAAGAAGGACTTCAATACCAATGCACCATTCAAGATGATATTCATCATCTTAAATGTCCAAAGTATGCTTCTTTAAACAATGTTCAATTTACTCATGTCTCAAAAGTTACCAGCAAAGCCCACTCAACCCAGCTCATAATGATGCTTGAATTGCTCTATGTCAAGAGAGATCCCTGTCCAGCAAAGTTGAGGGGCAACAGCAAGGTGCCAACCAGCAGGTTGGTAAGGTCTCCTGCTGGTTGCAGCGGAGACTTGGGATAGAATCCCGCCTGCACCTGGGTTGGGGGATGGGCTACCCCTTGTTGTGTAGCCCTTCAAAAGAAATCAAAAAAAAAAAGTTTAAGGGGCAAGGCAACAGCTCAACTACCTACAATAGGGCAGGCCTCTCCCAATAGGACCTGACAAACCAAAAAAATTGGTTTCCCAAATAATTCCTACCAACATCTCAATACAAGAAGGGGCAAGTGCTTCTCAAGACCTCCCAACAACTCATATAGAATCAGGACCAGCCAACTCAAAAAAATAAAACGCTAAATGCAATTGTGACGCCTCCCCCCCCAGCAGAATAATGGGATAGTAGGCCATAGCCTCTCTAACCTCTGCCCATAGCTCTAATGCTCTTAGACCATCATCTACCCAATTGCTTATGACCTCTCTCAATAATCCTATGGGCCTCCAGTCAACATCCTATCCTTTCTTCTCAGTAAAGGAAATAGAGGGAAGCAACCACTTGACTCGAGGATCAGAATCCACAATCCAAATTCTACAAAATAAAGCCCGTTTATCCAAAATAAAGAGGAAAAGAGACAAAAATGAGGGGAAGCAACATCCATTTCCACCACCTTGCTCAAGCACCTAAAGAAATCAAATTTCCAAAGCATCCACAATGAGGAGAGATAGCATAACTTTTCAGTTATAAGGACAGCTAGAAACTAATAAGCCTAGCTATGCCAGGACCAGATACCATGCCAAACTTAGGTGCTTGGGACAACACTTCTTGTAACATGCTAGGAATGCTCCAAATGGAACTCAATAAGGCATGCAGGCATTAGCTGGAACACGATTAATTTCAAAAATAAAAAAGTCTAAATTTGATGCAGAAAATAAAGATTGAAAGGAGAGAACTACAGCAAGAGATGAGGCAGTGAGAAGAAAGAATGTAAGTGTGGAGAGAAAATAACTCCAAGTCATGGGCGGTRGAAAGTTCCCACTATGTTTTATATTAAAGCTGAAATAAAAGATAAAATTACATCTGTACCCTTAGTGGGGCAGTAACAATAAAACAATAAAGAAATATGGCCCATGGACCCAATAAAGGAATACTCTAACAGCCTCCTAATAAGACATAACAATAAAAATAAAAGCATAACAAGCCCAATAAAGAAAGAAAAGATGTACGCCAGATTATCAATACTGAAAAAGGCTTGGTTATGGGGATACAAGGCCTCTACAATTTTTTTTTTTGAAAAGGTAAGATAAATTTATTAAATCTAACTCATAAAAGTACAAAACAGATGTAACTTGCCACTTGCCACATTTGGACGATTTGAACATATCATTTGATTAGTCTTTCGTGAAGGCTACCTGGGGAAAATCAGTTTAACATGTAATCCCAACTGTTTTTTCATTGCCAGTATTTAAATGACAAAGAACAATTCTATCAAAAGTCACAGACAGCTAAGCAAAATAATGCATGCATAGATAATTGGCAGTTTTCGGATAATTCATTTTTCATGTGGACACTTTCTTGGGTGGGCTCCTCAAATGGTTAGTTATGATCTTCTTATTATGATATTAACCAACACATGTCACGTTATAAGGACCCTAGACACAATTACTGCTCCCGTAGCCTCAAACCAAAACAGACTTTTGTGTAATTTACATTCATTTGCAGCTTCTGTCCTCATGCTGAACTATAGGTAGGGATTGACATACTGGACCCTATCCCTATGAAAATCTGAATCTGACTAAACTTCAGTAGTGTTACTCTGTCATACCCATCCCCACAAATAAAAGGTTTCCTCTACCTCCTCCAACTAAACTTCAGTTAGGATGTTGGATGACCTACAAAACAAGCAAAACATTCAACACCACTGCCACTTGACATCAACCTTTCCCCTCCTGTAAAGCGTGTTATAGTATGTGGACATCAATAAGTAATCTCATTTAACAAATAACTACAAAAGAATCCCCTTCCACTTCAAGTCTCCATAGACCTGAGGAGAAGCTCGTTTTTAACCCCTTGTAGCACGGAAAATATTTTGAACCTTATAATTGTCCTTTCACAATCATGCCCAAGTATGTCACATTAGTCCATTGAGGACTCCTCCACTCCCTCAGGGAGAAGGAACCCATTCATGCATAACCAGCTTTCTAGGGACAGTGCAGGTAGAAACGTATTGCTAACCTATAATGACAGAATCAACGATCACAGCTCTAAAAACTCTTCTCGTGATCATGGAAATCCAACAGGCTACCACCCTTATTGTTGAGGCCAATGATCTCCACCTCTTTTATCATAAAATATTCTAAAAAAAAACATATTCTTGACTACAAACATGACTAATAAAAATACAAAGGCTGGACATAGAATTACTGCAAAATCATATTGTTGTTATAACACTTTAAGGTGAAAAAAAAAAACTAGTACCTTGCTAAGCATGACAACAAGAAAACCATCCTCACTGACTTTGTTCTGTTCCAATGTAGTTTCATCTTTCAACACCTTCCCATTATGAATCAATAACTGTTGCCCACATGGGTAGCTGTCTTTTCCTTGCACATCTTCAATATTCTTCTTTACCGCCATAACCTAAGAAAAAGATGCCACAAAAATTAAACTATTTACATGTAAATTATTATACAATGTCGTTAAGCTCGATTTCAACAAAAACATGAAAAGTTCTATAACCATATAATGCATATACCATTGGTTAAGGAAATGAATCAAGATTCCTTATTTTCCTTTTAACATATACTTGCTCTAGTCATCCGTACCTAGCCTTTTCTTTTCAAAATCCATATTTGATTTGTCCCAAGAAAACAACCTCGCATTACCAACAAAATTCTCTCTTTGTTTCAGCAAATTCGTTCAATAAATTTAAGTATTAGTGCATTCCATTGACATTAGCCCTCAAAATCCATCAACAAGCGAAGCCAAGTGAGAAAAGCGATTATAGAGTACAGAGATAAACAGAGGGAGGAAGACTCACCGTATCGCCGGGCTGAACCCGGATTTCAAAGTGGGTTCCTTTCAATGTCTTTACAGTCAGCTTCATCTCGACTAATTTGCAGAAGCCAATATCAATTTCGAGGAATGTGACTATGTGAGAAGAAAAGGCCAGAAAAGCAAAAACCCTAGAAAGGAAACCCTAGAGTATCTCAGAGATCGAGAGAGAGAAAGAGAGAGATTGGAGAAATGGTCGGAGAAAGAAAAGATAGTGAAGAAGTGCAATGAAAGCTATATATAGTTCACAGTTCACACACACATGGGATATTCCGCTTGCCATATACGGACATATGCAACATGCGACGCTCAATATATCTTCTTAGCTTCTGACAATTTCATAAACGGTCCCTAACGAAGTAACGATCGATCACTTGGCCAACAGGCCAAGTAGCGAAAATTACTAGGGGCTGCCTTGTTTGGAACTTTCTTCCTAAACGCTGTTCTAATGTTTGGAGATGAGATGCCAACATAATAAAACATCCCTCCTTAAATTTATAAGTTATTGCCATGTAGTAATGAGAAATGAGAAATAAGAAATTATTTATTACAAGTTGAAGGGCTACAAGAGCTTAGGGGTAGATCCAAAATGGTGGAAGTAATAAGAAATGATTTAAGTCAAATTTGGGAGTGTTTATTTGAAAAATAAGGTTTAAAACAAGTATTTTTTCTAAAAAGTACTTATGAACATTTGGTGAAAAAACACTTATTTTAAATAGGGCCAAGATAAGCCAAAAAGGAAATAAGTACTTAAAAATAAGCCCAAAATTTGGGTTTCTCAAATTCGAGCTTATTTCCCAAATGTAAATAAATATTTATTGGTATAGTCACTATCCAAAATAAGTGATTATTTGAAAAAACACTTATCTTTAAGGACTCCCAAACTTAACCTAAGTGCCCATAATTTAAGGATGGATATGGTACAAAATAAAACTTAATGGACAGGATTCATGTAAATCCCATGTAGTTGGGAGGGGTTTAGATGATGATGTTATGGAGATTGTCACAGGTGGTCTTATTGGTATCATCCTCTTCCATTCATCCAATGGCGGTTATTTTGATTGGTGGGTCTTTTCATGTAAATCACTCCATGCTTTGGTTAGTCTCATGATAGCCATGTAATGTGATGAGGTAAGGAAAGAATGAATGAAATAATAATGAGAGTACAAAAAGGATATAGTAACTTCCATATTTGGAAATTTGAGCTTGTCCTATATTATCAACAAAAGACATTTATGTCAGGTTGGCACATGTCAAGTTAGCAACTAGCATTAAAAATTTTTCAAAGTCTTGTATAGATCTCATAGCATTGCTAGTATTTTTCAAAGTCTTGAAGGTTTTGTATCCTTTTTGGTCTATACATTGCAGGTAAGATCTCTATTCGGTGTGCAAATGTATTTTCAAACTGCAAAGGATTATTGAAACATTGAAGGAAAAAGGTAGGGAAAGCGGGGTTTTTAAAACTGGACTGCACAAGGAACCGTTATAGGGGCCGATTCTCAAGTTGAACAGTCTGATTGTTTGGTTCGAATGAATAGCTCATTCTTAACTTAATAAATTAAAATAAAAAATAAGAAATGGCCAAAAACTGTTGTATGAGTGGATGGTTTAACGATTTGACCACTCGGATCAACGAGTCACTGACCAAATCAATGATTTGAGGTCAAAAAGTTGTTTTGGGGTGAAATAGAATCAGTTACCTGAGATTTTTTTAACCATGAAATAAATGAAGGGAATTGTAAAGGTTTCCCTACCTTTTCCCTTCAAACCAAACATAGCCTAAGGTGCAAGAATTATGCCTTGCATGGGGAGATTCATGACATTCATCATGGCTTCTATTTCTTAGTTAATTCATTTGATCTTTGTAATTCAATGTCTAAGCAAGTTTGAAAAATGCAATTGATCATTGGCTAGCTAGTCTTTCTTTTTCTACTATGGGAGAGTGGATTAGTGGTCCCCCTTCCTTTTTGATGGATTGGATGATGTTACTAAATCCTTAAACTCTTCTAGCAGGAATGCATTTTATTTCGGTGTTTGCCAAAAAAAAAAAGGATTTGGGCATTTATGCACCAAGGCCTACTTATAAGTTCGATTATGTCTGATTTGGGCTAGGTCAGGAGTATGAAGCAAAGTTAGGCTAAACTTATCCCTATTCAATATATGTATTAGATGGATAACTTATACAATGATATGAAGAAAGGCTTGGGCGTCTCTTAGTTTTTTGTGCCAATTGTAGAGAATTCTTAAGTCATTTTCTCTTTTCTCTTGGTGCTCTTTTGCTCATAAAGTTTGTTTTTAGTGTGTATCTTCTTTGCATTGTTCGAATTCTTTTATCTTGTAACTTGAGCATTTATGAATAAATTATGCATTTATGGCTTAAATAAAGGGTTGGATTATGTGTGTTGTGCATGTTCAACAAATGAGTCAAATTACACTTTTATAATAATGTTTTTTATAGGGGAAATTACTTAGGCCCCATTTGCTTTTCGGTAATTTATTCACGTAGGTAAGTATTTCATAGGAAACACTTACATGCGTAACTGCCAAGTAAAATAATGACAATTTTAACTATAAAAATTCATTGTTAAAAGAGGCAATTTGTCCCATCCAAGTGTTTGGCAACTCCCCCCCCCCCCCCCCCAAGGTGGAAAAGTTACTTGTCCACCGGGGAGACAGATAATAGGGAAAAGAGTCCAACAAGGTAGAAAGCCTTCTAGGATAGATATTTAAGGAACACTTAATAAAAGAGCCTTTCATGGAAATTCCCATTTCATATATAGTTCAAATCAGCTTTAAAATGGTAACATTTTCCCTCATTACATTCAGCTCAAAGTAGAAGAGGATTAATGGTTAAAAAATAAGAAGAAAGAAATGAATTTAGTTTAGAAACTAAAAATTAATAGGACCTCTCTAATTGGATTGAGGGTTTTTCGACTTAGAATCATGGATTCCCCATGAATCTTTTTCTTCATTGATCATTTTGAACAATTTTTGGGAAACAATCACCTTCCCACCTGATTTTTCTGAAGTACCTAGGTCACACACAAAAATAAAATCACATTGGTTTTTGGGATAGGTGAATTAATATAACTGGGCTAGTAGATTTGGATTCCAAGTTCATGTTTTGAAAAAATAATGTAGAAACTATAAAGGAAAACATTTTTCTCTTCGGTGGTGGTTGGTGGGTTAATGATTAAACCATCAGTGGTTCAATCATCCAAATTAATAGGTCATTGACCAAATTAAACCATACATGGCTAAATGGATTCTAGGTTGACTTTAGGTTTAAAATATTGGTTCAAATAAGGGCATGTTTGTTTACTTTGGCATTAAGAAGAATATTGGTATTAGTGAACTTTTCTTCCCTTTAAACTCTAAAGTAGAGAATATTGTTCTGAATTTTGAAATTTATTAAATGTCCATTTTAACCCCATATATTAGAATTTTTGTTTGTGTTTTGGGGGTATCACTGAAAAACAAAAAGTTATAAAATTCCTCTTTAAGAGATAATAAATAAAAGGAAATGAGCACCCATTTTCCTCTTAAAGTTGTAAGATTCCTCTTAAGAGATAAGAGTTAGGCTCCATTTGTTTGCGATACACACACCGAATTGGGGCATTTATGTACCTCGGTTTGGATTTGTGAGCATTTGTTTGCCATACACAAATGCATCGGTTTAGATAGCAAAAATTTTGTTTTTTTCCTGACAGGTTTATGCGATAAAGATAGTTCATTTATGTATCCATTGTTTGGATACAAACAGGTCTATGCGATAAAGAAGTAAACAAGCTTATTCGTTGTATCAATTGAGCAAGAGGAGAGATGTCACTCCTAGGGTTCCGTCAATGGTAACTTATCATCTTCTTCTTTGAACATTATATTTTTTATTTTGTAGGTCTCCTCTGTCCATGGTCGACCTCTATGAAAAGAGCCTTTCTAAAAAAATCAAAGAGAGAGAGAGAGAGAGAAAAGAAAATATAATAAAAAAGAGAACGAAAATATGATGTTGGGAGTAGATGCCTATATTAATTGTTATTTGGGCCTTTTAACCCATCATTTATAACCCCAATCCCATGTCACGTTTCATCCTAAAGAACAAGATCTCATCGATCTTTGAAAAATCGACAAATCAGCACTGGACAGATCTATTTGGCTAGCAATTAAGGATCATAGTTGTGACTCTCTCCATTGAAGTATCAGCTTCACAATCCATCATTTATGTTATCCAAAAAAAAAAAAGAGAAAAGAGTAAAAGAAAACAAAAAAGAAAAATTGGGGCAGACACCTTGTGATAAAGGATTTTTCTTACAATGAATTCCTTGTTCAATATCTTACAATTTCATCGCACATGCTTTTGAATTCAATGAGTTTTAAGTAATGATCTAGATGAGAGGATACACACTCTCATCTTATGCGAACAAGATATAGCCCATTTGGATATAATTACTCTCATACGAGTTCAGATTGAAGGTACTTTACCATTTGATTTTGAAACTTTTTATTCTTACCATTCCCATATTTCATGTCCTTGTGCATTGTTTGACAATTGAATACTTTCTTGTACCACAGTTTAAGGAGATGTTTCAACCTTTATAGTGCATTTTCAACTTCTATCCTATTTCCACCATCACATCATATCATTTTGCTTGATTATATGTTGGTTATTAAAATCTCTTTTTCGTACAAACCATTGCCTTATCTTTCAAAAAAAAATCCCTTCAGGTGTTTTATCTCACACTTCGGTGTTCTGCTTTTTGAGTTTATAATTTGATTGAAGATTTGTTAGTTAAAGTATCTAAATTTCAATTTCATTGATAATATTCACATTGGTTTCCATTGGTCATGTAAGCCTATATTCTTTGACTTGCATTAGTATATTCTATTGGTCGCGTCATCCTCTATGCTTTGACTCATGTTAGAAATCCCATTGGTCATGTCATCCTCTATGTTTTGACCCATGTTAGAAATCCCGTTAGTCATGTCATCCTCTATGCTTTGACACACATTAGAAAATTTGTCAAGCATGTCAGCCTCTATGCTTTGACCCACATCATAAATTCCATTGGTCATGTCAACCTCTATGCTTTGACCCACGTCAGAAAATCCATCGGTCATGTCAGCCTTTATGCTTTATCCCATGTCTATCATCCTTTGGTCATGTCAGCATCTATGCTTTGACCTGCATCAGAAATTTTGTTGGTCATGTCAGCCTCTATGCATTGACCCGCGTCAAAAATTCCATCGGTCATGTTAGCATCTATGCTTTGACCTACGTTGGAAATTTTGTTGGTCATGTCAGCTCTATGCTTTGACCCGCATAAGAAATTCCGTCGGTCATGTTGACCTCTATGCATGCCTATGTGTTATTTCCTTTTGCTTTAGTAACAATTGCTAATTTTCTGATGATAGTTATTTATTGCTTTATTTCTATTGTTTTTTATTTGCTTATGCACGCTCTACTCATCATCTTGCATTAGATCTATAATCCTATTGTCCTATAGGAGAGGGTCAAAAGCATAAGCCACATAATCTAAGTACTTGTTGGCTGAGCTAATGGTTCTCAACCAGCCATTAACATGAGAAACCCATTTGTCTGAACATGGGTGATTTGAATTCGATCATATAGGACCGGATATTGGATCCGATCCATTTGCACCCCTAAATGGGATTTACAATCCGAATGACCAAGAAGCTGATGTTCTTTTTTGTGATTTATGTAGGGATCAGGAAAACTTTATTTTCCTATGTAAGTGATAGTGTGATACCCATCTCCTAAATGAATATTTTGAGAAAATTACCAACACTTGGATGGAACAAGAATGTTCCTTTTGATGATAGAATTTTTATGACTAAAATGATGATTATTTTGTTTATACAAAAAATAAAAAAACATGGATAAATACACCCGAAACACTTACCGGTAAACCTGTTCATGGGTCGGGTCGGGCTGGGCTTTCACTCTATATTAACAGATTTTTCTAAGGCCCGAGCCCAAGTCCAGTCCGACCATCGGGCCTACAACTTGGGCCTGAGCCCGATCCTCATAAAAGCCCGAAGCCCGAGCCTGGGCCCGAGCCCAAAATTTAGCCCATGTTGTTACTACTGCTGAAGCGGTTGAATAGAGAGAGAGAGAGAGAAATTATAAAGAAAAAAAAATATAAAAAGTATATATTAAATTATAAATATATATTTCAATAAATATTATATTATTTATATATTTTATGTAATATATAAAATACATATTATATATTTTATAAAATATATAATGCTGAGTCGGGATAGGCTTTTTTGACAAATCCCAAGCCCGGCCCGAAACAAACTCGGGCTTATTGTGTTAGGCTCACGGGCCTAATTATATGACCAAGCCCGACCGGGGGTGCGGGCCGAGCCATCGGGCTACCCGACCCATTAATTACCGGATAAATGCATTTAAGTGGCTAAGTAACTTATGCAAAAGCGAGCGGAGCGTAAGTTTCCATCGACTAATTACATCTTTCCTTTTTATGGTTTGATAGGGGATGCCACATTGTCACGGGGGTAGTTCTACAGCGGAAGAAACCCGTGCAGCGTCCAGGCCAAGGTAGGCCAAGACAAGCCTTTGTATGCTGCAAGGCTAGGAGTTGCCCAATGAGATGGCTCCACCAAGGTCAGTAGCACTGGATCATGACCTCAAGTAGCATGGCCGGGGCACTTTGTTGGCTCTGGTCGGTCCATCAGAGGCACCACTTACGTGCTAAAGGGGGACAGCTATGATGTGAGGCGACTGTGCGCCGAAGAGGTGACTTGGCACCGATATGATGGGTCTCTTGTATGCCGATGATGATGGGCACCTATGTGCCATGTTGAGAGGCAACTGCTTGGGCCGGAACACACCCGTGCGCTAAGGGCAACGGGATAGCTCAATCAGCTTGGGCAAGGGGCTGACATGGTGAAGGGTCATGTTTGAGCCAGGCCTGCATGCCAAGCCTCCCTTGAGTGTTGGCAGCGCAGTGCCGGTCCATGCACTGTCCCCATGAGCAAGTGTGCGCCCACGAGGAACCCTGATAGCCATGCTAGCCATTAACTAGGGCCGCCCCGCAAGGGAAGTTGGTATAGGAGTGCCAAGGTTAGGCACCCAAGGAGGTTGACCACCCCTCCTCAAAGAGTACGTTAAGCTTTTGGTGGTCTGCCTGAAGATGACATCACTTCTCCCAAAAATCTTACAGGCAAAAATGATGATGGTGTCCCTTAACGTAAGCCTGCCAAGCGTAGGCAAGGCTAAGCCTGTGTTAGACCGTGACAGGCTCCCCCACTCAATCCATTGCCGTATCGACAATGGTCTTCATGTGAATGGGCGTCTGTGTCCCGCACCATCCACTTGTCTGTCAGTTCCAGGGCTCGTCTGGCCAGTCCGGGTCTTGCCTATGTTGGTGTCAATTTATGGGGACGAAACCATTTCACCATGCCGGCCTGCCTGGACTTCACCCCCTGTGTTGAGGTTACTCAAACCACGCAATGGCTATGCCGTTGAACTGTGTGAGAGGGCCCTCGAAGAAATTGGATGTGTGCTTCGCGGAGGTCTGCCCCATGTATCATCTTTACCTCAAGGCTTGACCGTCTTCTTGGTAGATTTTCGGTGGTGCTACCGAACATGTTGATAGGTCTACTCCTCTTGTTGGCGATGTGTGCTGGGTACCCTTTCACCATGCTGGTCTGCAGACTTCACCTCACCGTGTGCGGGTTACTTAAACCTAGTCCATGGCTTATGCTCTCTTGGCCCTCGAAACTACACTTCACCACGCCGATTCGGGCTACCTCTTCACTTCGAGGGGGCCCCAATGTTCTGCTGCCTCAAGGAGACCTGACCGCAATGAACGCGAGTGTGGCAACTTTTACCCATGATGTTGCTAAACATGCACTCGCCTTGGGATGAGCGGTTGTTGCTGCAAGTGTTCTGCCTTGTTGAACTGAGCATGTCCACCTGATGCATTGCCGGTGTAGGGCCGCCATGCTCCAACGGCCAGTGTACCCACATTCCTATCAAGGCTCACGCGTCTGCCCCCGCATGAGTATAACAACCAATGCGTCTGCCCCCGCAAGGGAAGCTATTTTTAGGGTCATTGGAATGGGGACGCGAACAATGAATGACCTCTTGCTAGGCCTGATCTGAATTCTGCTTGATCCTGGGTGGAAGTGCCTAGGGACCGCACCCCACAATGTGCTGCTTGTCGAGATGACCGTTTCAACTGGCTCTGGGCTAATCTGCTTGACACCAACTGCGACAACAATTGGCTAGCTCGCTCTGATACCAACTTCCCTTGTGGGGCGGCCCTGGTTAATGGCTAGCATGGCTACCAGGGTTCCTCATGGACGCACACATGCTCATGGGGGCAGTGCATGGACTAGCACTGCGTTGCCGACACTCAAGGGAGGCTTGACATGCGGGCCTGGCTCAAGCTTGACCCTTTTACCTCTGCCAGCCCCTTGCCCAAGCTGATTGAGCTATCCCGTTGCCCCTAGTGCACGGGTGTGTTCTGGCCCAAGCGGTTGCCTCTCAACATGGCACACAGGTGCCCATCATCATCGGCATATAGGAGACCCTTCACATTGGTGCCCAGTCACCTCTTCGGCGCACAGTCGCTTCACTTCATGACCGTCCCCCTTTAGCGCGTAAGTGGCGCTTCCTATGGACCGGTCAGAACCAGCAGAGTGCCCCGGTCATGTGACTTGAGGTCATGATCCAGTGCTATTAACCTTAGTGGAGCCATCTCATCGGGCAATTCATAGCCTCTAAGCACACAAAGGCTTGTCCTGGCCTGCCTTGGCCTGAACGCCGCACGGGTTTTTTTTCCGGTGTTACACTTGCCCTCTTAGTACCAAAAACGAACGGGGTAATTGTCCCTTTATATACCTACCGCTCTGGCCCTGTCACGATGTCACCGCTCGAGCCAGAAAGACTGCGAAGAGAATCACTGGACGAACTGGGAAGGAAGACGCGAGTCACGGGAATGGAGGCGGACTAACAGGAAACATCATATATGTTTTGCATTGAGGGGGTGCTGAATAAACCCTTTCAATGTCTGCATTCAAAACGCAGCTATGGTCGTTACCCATATACGAAGCCGTTGCAATTTCTCATCCAAACTTCAGCGCTGTACACGGTCTTGGTTACCCACAGTCGAGCTATCAAGGCAGGCACCATAGTAGACACCTATACTGCAAACAATATCCTAGGTGGGTATGTGAAATGCAGAGATGTAACTTGTGCTCACAGTCTGTTCAACGAAATTTCACAAAGAGACACCGTTACTTGGAATTCAATGATCACTGGATATGTGAATGGTGGGAGCTTTGATACTGCTTGGGAGCTTCTAAGAACCATGAGGGGAGATGGATTCAGTTTTGATCAGTACACCTTTGGCAGCATTCTAAAAGGAATTGCCTGTGAGGGTCGCCTTGATCTTGGGCAGCAGGTGCATTCGGTGATTGTTAAGATGGGTTATGAGAAGAATGTTTTCTCGGGGAGTGCATTATTGGACATGTATGCAAAATGCAACAGAATCGGAGATGCGTATGCAGTGTTTGGGTGCATGCCTGAGCGGAACTTCGTTTCATGGAATGCTATAATTGGGGGGTTTGCTCAAGTTGTTGATCGTAGGACTGCTTTCTGGCTACTTGATCGTATGGAGAGGGAGGGTTTGAGACCTGATGATGCCACTTTTACTCCCCTTCTTACGTTGCTTGATGACCCTGAGTTCTATAAGCTAACCATGCAAATCCATGCCAAGGTTGTGAAACATGGACGCGCATCTGATACGGCATCCTGCAATGCCACTATCACAGCATATTCAAACTGTGGGTCTATTGAAGATTCCCAAAGGGTGTTTGATAGTGCAGATGGCAGTCGAGATTTAGTTACATGGAATTCCATGTTAGCGGCTTATGTAGTACATGATTATGGGGCCCCAGCCATTGAGCTTTTCAGGAAAATGCATGCGCTTGGGATTGAACAAGACATGTATACATATACAAGTGTAATAAGTGCTTCTTTTTGCAAAGAACATGAAAACCAAGGGAGATCCTTGCATGGGCTGGTAATTAAAAAGGGATTAGAAAAAGCAATACCTGTTTCTAATTCATTGATTGCCATGTATATCAAATATGATGGCAAGTCCATGGAAGAAGCACTATATCAATTTGACTTAATGGAATTCAAGGATAGGGTATCTTGGAATACAATTTTGACTGGATTCTCACAGAATGGGTTGAGCGAAGATGCCTTAAAGATCTTTGAACAAATGCGATCTATGCAGCTTGAGATTGATTGTTATGCTTTTTCTGCAGTACTCCAGTCTTGTTCTGATTTGGCAACCCTCCAATTGGGTCAACAAGTTCATGGATTAGTCTTTAAATGTGGTTTTGAGTCAAATGACTTTGTAGCTAGTTCATTAATATTCATGTATTCCAAGTGCGGGGTCATCGAAGATGCAAGAATGTCTTTTGAAGCAACCCCTAAAGACAGTTCAATCACGTGGAACTCAGTCATGTTTGGATATGCACAACATGGTCATGGTAAAGTTGCTATTGATTTGTTCTTCAAAATGCAAGAAGAAGGGGTAAAACCAGATCATATAACCTTTGTTGCTGTTCTCACTGCATGCAGTCACATTGGTTTAGTAGAGCAAGGCTTTCATTTTCTAAAATCTATGGAAGCTGATTATGGAATTCCACCTAGGATGGAGCATTATGCATGTGGTGTTGATCTTTTTGGGAGGGCCGGATGCCTTACTGAAGCAAAAGCCTTGGTTGAGTCCATGCCATTTGAACCTAATGCCATGGTGTGGAAGACTCTATTGGGTGCATGTAGAATGCATGGTGACATAGAATTGGCTAGTCAGGCTGCGAGGCTCTTGCTAGTTCTAGAGCCTGAAGATCACTGCACATATGTTCTTCTCTCTAACTTGTATGGGCGTCTTGGAAAGTGGGATGAAAGAGCTACCGTTAAGAAGGTCATGAGGGAGAGAGGGGTGAGGAAGGTTCCTGGTTGGAGTTGGATTGAAGTGAAGAATTCAGTGCATGCTTTCAATGCTGAAGATCGCTCACACCCACAGTGTGAAGAGATTTATCAGATATTGGAAGAGCTGATGGTGGAGATTAGGATGTTGGGTTATGTTGCTAATGTTGATTGTATAATGCATGGTATAGATTACATGGAAGGAGACTGGGACTTGTAGACTTTGATTGCCACTTCCTTTTTGTGGATTCTTTGTTTTACATTTTTCTTGTGATTTGAGATTCCCTCCTTTTTAGAAGATCAATTAAGCATCTTGGTTAATCATGTAGAAGAATCCCTGATTGGGATTTTATGGAGGATCAAAAGTTTTGTTTATCATGGATAAGATGGCCATAGATGTAGTGGCAATGCAGCATGCAGAAAGCACTTATCCCCCAAGTAATATTTCAGAATCTGATATTTTGAAGATAGCTTTTGATCTACAGAAACTGCAACTTGAAGTCTGAACAGAGCAACTTATTGGAGGAAATGGGTTTTGAGTATTATGCCATATTGCCATGTAATACAGAATGGGAAATTTATGGTTTAAGACCTCATTGATTTTAGTTGACAGAATAGTTGGGTCTACCATTGGAGGCCTTATATGACAGCACTCTATCCAATACCAAAAGATGGTTGTGTCCATATATTTAGATGCTGCTGCAGGTATATTCTCTCTCTCTCTCTCTCTAAATAACTTGAATTTTATTAACAGACTTTATATAATATCTTTACAAGCATCCCTTGGAGAGGCATGAGCTGCTACCTCTCATACAAAAAAAAAAAAAAAAGAAAAAAACAGATTACAATTGTGCCTTGAATAAAGAAGGCCTATTCACCATTCACCCCTTGCTTAGCTTGCTTAGCCAAAGCATCCGCCATCCCATTTGCTGATCTCCTCACCCATTGTATCCTCAAATTCATATTCCTGGTTAGACATGTAAATTATTTTTTTTTTCATTTCACTCTTATAGCACCAAATTATAGACTCTAGATTCTTCAGCCATTCTACCACCACTTTTGAGTCCTCTTCAAGCACCACATTTGTCAAGTTTAACTCACTAACGATCTGCACCCCTTGAATTGCAGCAAGCAATTCCACTTTGAAGGAGTCACCCATACCCACAGGGCTAGAAAAAAGTGCTATAAATTTACCTTCTCCATCTTTCAAAACCCCTCCTATTCCAGAAGGGCTTGGATTACCTTGGCTACTCCCATCAAAGTTTAGTTTAACAAAACCTTCAATTGGTGGTACCCAAAGAACCTCCACTCTGTCCTTTCCTTAGAGTTTTTAGCAATTGCTTCCCAATTCCTCCAAATATCACCAAAATAAAATTGGGAAAACAACTCTAGAGGTCTTGATCTAGTGGATCACCCTAACCCTTTCCTTGCTTCTCTCCTTTGAGAAGATTCTTGCATTCCTCTCTTCCCAGATGGTCCAAATCAAGGCTGCTTTGACACATCTCCACAGTATCCTTCCTCTCTTCTTTGGCCAAGTAAACAGGGAGGGATCAAATAACATATTAACCCCTCCCCAAATAACATATTAACCTCCGTACTGATAAAAAAAAAAAAAATATTAACCTCCGTTGCTAAGGTCCACTTGCACCCAAGCAAAGAAAAAACCAAAGCCAAATATCTGCAACAAAGGGGCAAGAAATTAGTAAATGAAGGCAACTCTCATTATTGGATTTACATAAGGCACACCATGATGTAGGATCTTTGTGATCCAGCACTATTCTTGCAACCAACTTAGGCCTAAGTGTGTAGCAAACAGTGGAGAAAGAGAAGGAAATAAGATGAAAACCCTAAGCAAATCACACCTAAGGGTGAGGGCAATCACACCCCCAACTTGGCAATCACACCAAATTCTGTAGGGAAACTTTCTTTGTTAATCACCAAAAAAAAAAAAAAAAACCCTGATCCTCAAATGAGCCATACAAAGTTACAAGCTTAATAAAAAGAAGCTTTCAAAGGAAGAAACTTGCCCCCCAAGTTAGCTTGCCCAACAAGCCACTTACAAAAAGAAGTTAGATTAGACTAAACCTGCCCCAAACAATTACAAACATAAATCCAAACAAAGGGGAATTACTAGACTAAGATCTATTCCCAAACATAACCCTCCTAACATGCAAAATTACAAAAATACCTTTGCTGTCCAGAAATGTAAGAAAACTAAATAAATCTTGTCCAATGGCAAACTTAACCACATAAAGAGCATCTTAAGGTGGACTGAAGACTTTAGGGTCTTCCCAAGTTGATCCACTGCCAACCCAGTTCCCATGTGGGCCCCATGTCTTTGTAATAATGCCAAATGTGCATAGAAGCAGCTTTGGTTCTTTTTTGATATGCCTTAAGTTGATCCCCATCATCTCTCCCTGGCTTGGAAAAACTGGGCTCCGTCGAGTAAAATGGAAGGTACCTCTCATACATATCACAATTTAGGCATTGGAACTCATTGGCAGTGATCCAAGTGCAATCAGAGTGAGAACGACCTTTCCATTTGACAAGAGCTTGAGATATCCCCCATGATATGTTGAAATAATTTGGTCATCAATAAAATCTTCAATCTCTTTCTTGGAAATGGGGGCTGGTGGTAAGCGGCCTACGGGTTGGTCCATATTGGTTGCATCACCATGATATAACGTTAAATCCTCCACATTGAACACATGACTCATACCCATATCCTTAGACAAATCAAGTACATAAGCATTAGAACTGATTTTCTTCTTGATTTTAAAAGGACCTGAGCTTCTTGAATGAAGCTTCTTATAAACACCTTTAGGAAAACATTCAGGCCTGATTTGTACCATTACTATGTCCCCTTCATTAAAATCAGTAAATCTGCACCGTAGGTCAGCATGGGACTTATACGCTTCATTGCTGGTTGCAATCTTCCTCCTAACTTCTTCTTTTTTTTTTTGATCAATAACACAATTCATTATATAATTTATCAAAAAAAAAAAAACACAATTCATTATATAATCTTAATAAAAAATACTAAGAGGAAGACAAACTTTCTTATCTTCCAAATGCAGTTTGAGCCCCAAGAAAGGAAAAAAGAGAAGAAAGAGAAAGAGAAAGGGAAAAGAAAAAAAAAATTTACAGCTGTGCCCAAAACATTGATTCCCTTTCCACCCCTTGTTTAGCTAACCCATCAACAAAGGAATTAGTTGATCTTTTTACCCAAATGATTTTAACTTCCATTCCTCGAACCAGCCATCTAAATCTCCTCCTCACATTACTATAATGCCATAAACCGCTGTTGTCTTTTTTCAGCCATCCTACCACCACCTCTGAATCCCCCTCAATTATGAGTTTGTTGATATTCATCTCCCTAGCTTTCTGTATTCCTTCCATAATTGCATGGATCTCCGACTCCAATGGGGCCTGAATACATGGCTAGAACAACCCCATTCTCATCCCTGAAAACACCCCCAATCCCTGATTGTTCAGGATTCCCTCTGCAACCCCCATCAAAGTTAAGTTTTATGAAACCTGCAGGTGGAGGGGGGGGTCCAAAACACACTCATCACTGTTTTGGTCTGGGAACAGTTAGCAATCTCACCACACTTTCTGAACATGTCATCCGCTGTATAATCTGTGAATTCTAGGGATTTCATCCACTGTACTACCCTTTTAAGGATTAGAGCCCTCAGTTCTTCAGCACCTCTCTCCACGTCAGAGAATATCCTGGAGTTTCTTTCTTTCCACAATGACCAACATACCATAGCCCTTAGTCCTCTCCACATATTCCTTCCCTTTTTCATACGCCACCTGAAAAAAGAAGGGGAAAATAGACTTTGCAAATTTGATGGAGGGTTCCAACTACACCCAAATAGGGAGAGAAGAGAGCCCACTCCCAAATAGACTTTGCAAATTGGCAAGACACCAGTAGATGAAAACCAGTCTCCCCATCAGCCTTACAAAGAACACACTAGTGAGGGGACAAGCAAGTATCAGGTCTTTTCTTTTGGAGCAGATCACTAGTGTTGAATCTTTCCAGAAAGGCTTCCCAGCAATAACTACCAACCCTAGGAGGAATTGGTCTGCACCAAACCTCATTAATAGGAAAAGGGAGGGCTACAGGACTGGTGGACTAGTTTAAAACTTTGAAGAAAGAGGCACATGAGAAAGAACCAGTGGGGGTGGGGGTCCAGATTCTAGAGATCTACTTGATGCCAGCATTTGGTCTTGCTTCTGATGGCAAAGGAACTAGGTCTATAGGCTTCTTAGGCTTAATTCCCATCACTATCTCAAAGGGGCTATGACATGTACTTCTTCTGTTCACGGAGCTATTGTAGGCAAATACAGCTGTAGGCAACGCCAAATCCCGCCGTGTAACATGATCACTCACCAAACAACGTAGTAAATTTCCCAAGCTTCTATTCACAACTTTAGCTTGCCCATCAGTTTGAGGATGAAAAGCTGAAGAGAACTTCAACTTAGTATTCAGCATACGCCAAAGAGTCATCCAAAAGTAACTCATAAATTTGGCATCTCTATCTTAAACAATAGTATTGGGTAGGCCATGCAAACACACAACTTCCTTAAAGAATAGTTGTGCAATGTGTACAACATTAAATGCCTTACTACAAGAAATGAAATGAGCCATTTTGGAGAAGCGATCAACCACAACATAGATGGAACCATGCCCCTATAGAATCTTAGGGAGGCCTATTACAAAATCCATGCTAAGGTCTTGCTAGGGAGAATGTGGAATAGGGAGCAGAGTGTACAAACCAACATTATGTTTCCTTCCATTTGCTAGCTCACATGTACATCCTTTTCGAGTCCTAGCCAAAAGAAATGATCTTCAACCAAGGCAATAGTTTTGTCCCTTTCAAAATGACCTGCTACACCCCCTACATGTAGTTCCCAAATTATCTCTTTCCTAAGTGAGGTATTGGGTAGACATAAATGAGTCCCTTTGAAGAGAAAGCCATCATGTAATGAAAATTCTGGGTATGATGCTTGCTGTCTTGACTATATATCTGCATAGATAATGCTGAAATCTCAACATGTAGGGTAGTCTCTTTTGAGCAAGTCAAAGCCTACCACCTGTACAACCATAGTAGAGAGGATACAGACCACCCGGCTAAGTGCATCAACTACTGTTGATTCAACCTCTTTTGAGAATTAATGTGCTTCAAAGCCTCATAATCAGATAAGAGAACAAATTCGTCAGAAATAAGATAGTGTTGCCAATAACACGAGGCTTGCACTACAACATGAATTCTTTGTCATAGGTGTTGTATTTTTGATTGGCTTCATTAAGCTTCTCATTACAGAAAGCCATTGAGTGACCCTCTTGGCTAAGAGTTCCTCCAATCCCAACATGAGAGGCATCATAAGTTACTGCAAAGATCCTTGAAAAGTCTGGGAGACGAAGGACTGGTGAATGGTGATGTTGTTAGTCTCATTTTGATCTCCTCAAATGCCTTGGTTGCTGCATTAGACCATAAGAAGTGGCCCTTCTTCATGCAATCAATTATGGTGCTGAAATTTTGAATAAAACGCCTACAAAATGTAGCTAATTTATGAAAACTTTGAACTTCATGTAGTGTGGTAGGTATAGGCCAATCGACTATGGCCTTAACCTTTGTCTAGATC